ATTCCCCTCATTCACATCCTGTGATCATCATGCAGAATGAATGAGGCCATATTTAGTTCTTCTAATGACTATGTTCTCCACATGGTTGGTTTTAGAAGAGCAGTTAAGTGCCATGTTTCCAGGGAAAATGCATTTTAAGAACAGAAATGGAAATTTTCTAAATGGCCACCATCTAACTTTATGATGATAAAAAAGAAATTAGTTTAAAATGTACAGTGAGGGCTTAAATGGTTAAAGCGAACAGAAATATTAATAATTATGATCAAATAAAATGTTTATTTGGAACACTGGACAGAGAGGACTGGTTTGGTTAAGATTCGTTTTATTGATTTGTAGTCTTTTAAAGTACACAACTTAAAGTTTTTATTTATTTTATTTCTTGAAAAAGAAAATAATCCCTCAGTTAAAAATAAATAAATTGTATCAGTTTGTAACACCCAGATAAATAATAATTATTTTGAAAAGCAGTTCTTGTTCAAAAGTACATTACTTTCAAGATACCTTTTACAAAGTCTGTTGAATGCTCAAATGTACTGAAATTAGCTACAGCACTTCTGGGTCAAGGAAAGATTATCACAGATGGTCATCATCAATGTGCGAGAAATGTTTGCTAAGTCATGTGTTAAGGAGATGAGTCTCAGGAAAATCTGAACTGAATTTAATTTATTTATGTTACCTCCACATAAAATACAATTGCAAATAATGTCGACATCTTTTCCCCTCCTTGTTTCTTGCATTGTCTTCAAAACGATTCCACAAACATACATCTCCATATTAGGCAACCACAGTAGATAAGAGGTCTGTAACAGTAATGGAATAACTGCACAAGTTTGAGAAAAAAAATTACACACATATACAGAATCACACACACACTCGCAGATAAACTGTTCTTTCCACTGAGGTAACCTGCACCAGTGCAACACTGCAGCGACACAAGCGTGTTGATTTGATCTTGCATGTCTTTAAATAGAAGCCACGCTTTGGCTTGCAGGCAGAGAAAAAAGAGATTGCACTTTTTTTATTACACGTTTATGTGAGTGTGTATGTGCCTCTGTGTGTGTGTGTGTGTCTAGTGCGTAAGCAGTGAGGAGTGAATGGCTTGGCTTCACATCAAAGGCCCAGGCAAGTCTTTGCATTAACGAGGCTCTTTGTTTCCTGCCACACCGATTACAACAGGTCTCTCCCTGCACTGGCCACACTACACAGGCCAGAGAACCTCACTTTCAAGGCCTTGTCCTCTTCCAGCAAGCCAAAGGCAAATATGGATTCACTTCGGGAACTGCAGTTGCTCCTTAAAAACCATCAAAGTTTGTGTAAAGCAATGGTTGCAATAACTGTTAAGTGAGATTAAGTTTGGTTTATAATGTTCTTTGTTTCCCCACCAATAATGATTAACCATTGTACAAATCATACATACACACATTATCTAAGCCGCTTATCCTCCTGGGCCGTGGGGGTGCTGGAGCCTATCTCAGCAGTCATTGTGTGGAAGGCAGGAAAAACCCTGGACAGGTCACCAGTCCATCACATATTGTATTGATCATTAAATAAAAAACAAACAAACTAAAAAACACTAAAAGATGTAATACCAATAATAACAATTGTAGGCCAACAGTTTTTGTGGGATCACTTATTTGGGAACTGAAATATATCCTTTAAACTTATCTGTGCAAGTCTGTGAAACAGTTAACTAAGGAGTAACTGCGTTCATTTGAGAAAGATAACCAAATATCTAAACATAGAATGTTAGTTTATATAATAAGCAAGTCATATATCTTCCTCTAGCCATAGTTTGATTTTCTATTTACCTCAAACAAAATCAAACTACCAACACTACAAAATATTAAATGCTCCACTATACAGATAAATATAGATGTAAAAAATATATAATGCAAATTTTAATCTAAAGAAATTATGTTGATGCTGTTAATATTGGGGTGCAAAATCAGAATTAATAGATTTTTGCCTCAAACACGCAACGTGCAATCGGCTGTTAGTCAGTTTATCATTTCAGCTTTGGTAGGTCTGTGTTCCAATTGACATGACATAAGGTGAGCTGGGATGTACCACCTGCACTGTATTTGAATGCTGCTGCTTCACCTGTACCAAAACTGTAGCATAATTGTGAATGACACATTGTGCTAAATAACCAGTCCCATCTTTACTTTCAATGAAGCTCTTTAATTTATTAATGTTATTTAAATAGGCAACTAATTTTTCATTTCCAAATTAAAAATGCCAGCTTGACCCATGGAAGAGCAGTGTTATTTATGTTGTGACTTTGTCTATTAGAACTAATCAAGGCTTTACTGGTTTTGTATGGCATTATACTATATTTAGTGAAGTTTTGGCAAAAATTGTTATAAAACGTAATGGGTCTTTACCTTAAAAATCACAAAATATGCACACCTATTAATTAAATAGGGGCAAAAGAGTCAGAAAGGAAGACAGTAGCTTTTCTTGACAAAACAACAATGTCCAAAGTTTTTGCCTGATATAAAAGCCTGTGTAAATCTCTATCTGGGAGTTCTTTAGAATGAGAGCCTTCCAGGGCATGGAAAACATGTTAGGTCATTCAATCCCAAGGATAACACTTTGGTTTTGTTTGTTTAGCACTGTTTGATGTGTCGCTGGTTTTCTTTTTGGCCTGAAGTGTGTGTGTGTGTAGTCGTGAGAGAGGATGAAGCAGCTGCTCAGCTTTGGTCTGTGGGTTTTCATCGCTCCAAACATGCATCCTCCACATTACGGGATGTGTGCTGTCTTTTTTCCTGGAGAATCAAGAAATTCAGCCAAATTAAACAGCCAATTCAGTTGTATAATGTGAAAGGTTTTTCTCAAAATCAATTTCATTTATGGCAGTGTGAATTAATAATGAATATTATGCTACCTCTTAAGGGCTACTTCCATGAAAAGAGGCTTCAATTACAGCATCAGTCTATGCTCTGACAACAGTCCATATTAAAGAACAGCCTTCTGCTCTAGCTTTGAACTGGATCATCAGTCACTTTTGATAATTGGCAGCCTACATATAGCCTGTTATGGAACAGTGGGTACTACTTCTAGAAGGAAACAGTGGAAGTATGAACAGAAGAAGTCTTCATACGGGTGTTGTATAGCATGCTAGATACTGCGAGGGAGAACAAGTCTCTTTGGTTGGAAGGAATGACCAATAAAAAAGCACACAAGTGGCTTGAGTTAAGCTGTGTTCCCTTGGATGTGGGCTGACCTCAGCGAAAGGATATGATTTAATTAGTTTTCTGCTTTAATGTGCCTGGAGTTTATTTAGAACGTGCAGTATATAATTTTTAGGAACTGCAATTTATCCTTAAAACCATCAAAGTCTGTGCAAAAGAATAGTTGCTCTGTTTAACTATGGACTAAGTGTTTTAGGAAAGATTTTTTGCATAACTTTTTTGTGTTGTCCAAATATCTGAAAGCAAAAGGACAAATCAAGTTATACAACAATCAGGCTTTATATTTTTCCTTAGCCATCATTTGGTTCGAGACATTCTCTATTTTACCCCAAGTAAATAAAGGGACTCACACAAACTGTTCCATTGTACAGACCAATTAAAAAAATCAGTTATATGGCTCATTGGGTGTCTGTCCCTCACTGTTCATTCATTTCAGACTGTTGCTATTCTGTAAATAAATAAATGAATAAATATATACATAAATTGCAGATTTACAAAATCATTTTAAAAATCATTTAAAAAATCACATTTTATCAAAATGCTGACATGATGCCATAAATATAGCAGATCTTGATACAGTCCTGCCTCATTATTGACTGTTGTGTGCTTCAGTCTCAGTTCGCAGTTTTCTCAGCACACCAACAGACCCTTTATCTCTTACAGTCTGCAATATTGCATAGTTTCATGCACACCATCATCAATTATTGCTCTGTAAAGACTTCTGTACATGTAGGCTATTTTTACTGGAACATTTTCACATTCCTTAACTATATAGGACAAGACTGATGGTAAATTTTACAGACCTACATTTCAAGTCATGTCTAGAATTGCAATGAACTAGATAAAAGCTGTAGACACAGAATCAGAGGAAAAAAGATGAGTCATTCCAGCACAAGCTGAGCAACCTGAAACTGGCTCCAAAACATGGACATAGAGAATGAATCTAGTCCAAGAACCACAAAAAAGGAGGAGGAAAAAGCAGAACATTTAGACCGGGTTGGGACTCTCACAAGCATGAGCTCTGAAAAGCATAAATTGTAAAAAGGCATTAAGAAATCATGAGGTAAATGATGTAGAAAAGCTGGTTCTGTGAAAAACAGCTGTCTATATTTAATCAAGGCGAATAAACAAGGTCTCATTTATAATTTAGATTTGCATGCATTAAACTGCTCATTTTTAATCTTTTTATTAATATGCATGGATGATATTGTATAAATATGCAGCCTTATGCAAATATTGGGCATAAATTCTGTTTGTATTTAATTCTAATTCCCAGCTGTGGTTCGTTATTTTCATTCAGGGCATTAGATTAACTCAAATATTAAGGCACAGCATGGGAGTGTATAAATATTTCTCAATTAAAACTCTGTGAAACTATAGCCAAACTCGAAATTCGTCAATAAATTAACATCGGAAGGTGGTCTACTTGATTTACAAAAGTTCATAACAAGCATTTCAAGCATTTTTTTTCTCTTTGTGTTTGCTTTTACTCTAGAACGTATAGGGTTTGTAATAAATGTTTTTTTTTCCACTGTTGTCTTTTTTTGCTCGTGAAGTTGATTTTGTTACATTTCTTTTAACATAATGTTTAAAATTGAAAATGTTCTCTAAAAATTCTCTTGGCAGGAACCATGAGCTCAATATCTATGTTGTACACTTACTACGTGCCTAAACTAGCTCCTGTTTGTTTACCAATAGCTTGTGAAGAAGCTGACGCCATTAGCCTACGCGCCTTCTGATTTGAAGTGAATGCTACACAGGACACATAACCGTGTTATTAGTTTTTAGAGGCAGTCCAGCTCCAGCACACTGACAAACTCTGAGTGTTGAGTCGGCTGAATGAGGGCACAGCGTGCTGAAGGCTGGAGCTGCTCTGTCTCTTTAAGAGCGGAACCCTTCACTGAAACAAACGCTCAACCCCCAACGAGTCACTGAAGCTGTCAATCAGCGGTCGGCACTCTTTGATCTTCGCACTACTGGCCTGCTCTGGGGCTCAAAAGCACTATTTGTTGCTGCCGGGCTCCATTACTTTCAAGTTGCGGAGGTCCTCCATAGCACAACAACTTTTTTCACCCCCTCATCCATTTGAACCGCGTGAGCTCCTAAAGAACAAGAACAAGAAAGTTTTCTTGTTTTTTTGTCACAGGAAACAGGCAGCGTTTTTAATTTCTTTTTCAAGAGCAAAATGCCGCAGCTCAACAGTGGAGGGGGTGATGATCTCGGTGCCAACGATGAAATGATTTCTTTCAAAGACGAAGGTGAGCAAGACGAGAAAATCCAAGAAAACGCTTTTACGGAGGGGGACCTGGCTGACCTCAAGTCGTCTCTGGTGAATGAATCGGAGATAAATCAAAACTCAAACGCAGCGGTAGGTATTCCGGCTGAGAGAACCCCACATTTCGGTGTTTCTCTGGACGGTCGGTGGTGTGCCTCGTGTTGTTTTTTAACTGTTTTGACTGAAGCGACCCACTGTAACCAAGTACCATCTTTTCTGACATTCCTCCGGACGCATGCAGGTGGTTAGAAGGGGACAACAAGACGAACAGAGAGTTTACGCAGAGAAACACAGAGAACATCTTGACGAAGGTAAGTAAGTCTACACGCTTCAGGTTCTGCAGTGGGTGCTAGGATGCTGGATGGAGTGTTTAACCTTTGAAGAAGGTTTGAAGAACAATCATGGAAATGATTTACGGGTGATACAGTAGTAAAACTACTCTGTATTTTCGTCATTGCGTAGTTTTATGCCTTGAATTGATGTTGTCTAACTTTTTCGGGGGAAAACCGAAAAGGCTTACCAGTCAAATTGCGTCATCAGTTACCCAGTTTACTGTTTTTATCACTACGTAAAGTACGTGACGGAGAAAGTTGTCGCGTTCTAACATAACGGTTCGATATTTCAACCTATATGATTTCGTGCAATTGTATGCGAATTTAGAGCGTTACCATACTAATGTCCAGCTCTGAACGTATGTCCACCACACGTTTACGTGTGTAATTCACTTGAAGCAGAGCGTGTGTGCATGTAATCTGTGATTGACGACCTTGATATTTCTTTAGAACTGGCACGAAATGACCTGTAAAACCTCTTAAAAACACATGAATCTTGTTCAGCCTTTTCACACTCTTTTCTCTTTCCCCGATAGTCCCAAAACATCAAGATGGAGGGATGTACAAAGCACCATCCTACTCTGGATACCCCTTTCTGATGCTGCCGGACCCATATCTTCCTAACGGCCCAGTGTCACCATCTGTAAGTTCACTTTTTTTTTCATCTCTGTCACACTGATAACTAATATTTTACTTGATATCCGGTCAGGTCAAGCAAAGACTCGTCTACTTGGCCAGCGAGGATTATAGTAAGGAAGATTAATCCACAAGAAATTACTATTGTTGTTTTTAAATTCCTCTGAGCAATGTTGGTAATTGTAGATGTGTCTATACCAGTAAAAATCAAATAATAGCCTAAGTGATTTTTAATGCTGACACTGTCTGTTTCATGTAGAAGTGCTAGGTGCAGGTGAACTTGGTTTTGAGTGTTGAGCCGAAACTATATTTCAGTCTTAAAATGTACAAATCTTTGAACTGATCTCTTGGATATTGGAACAAAGGGTCACAAAATGTCGCTGTTTCTGATTTTTTTTCACATGAGTTTTATAAACTACAAACATGTTTTGTTCTAAATGACCTGTTAATGGTGAACTGTTTGAGCACTTAACGGTAAACAAGTCCTCTTGATATTTGTTGCAGCTCTTCTTAACTGTGAGTCTGTTTGTGTGTGGGTGTGTGTGTGCATGTACATGTGTGTGTGTTTGTTTTTGCGTAGCCTTTTGCATGTGTGTATGTTTGGGTGCATTTGTACTTGCTGTGATAGGAAGCATAACAGATTTCAGTTCTTATCCCATTCAGTTGTCGTGTTTTTAGTTTGATGTACATTGTGGCTGCTTGTAGACGCATTTCCTTCATGACCTCTGTAGTGATTTGCAGATTTCACACAAAATTACCTGTTGTAGGCAAAATGTTTGCTGATAATAATGGCATTACATCGTGAGATGACATAGAGAATTCACAGAATAAACATCATGTAATCAGTTTTTGTTGTTCATCAGCATTGATCCATGTTAAGGAATTTGAGAATGACATGAAGGTATCCGTAGAAACTAAAGTGTAAATGTAAATCATGGATGGAAGATGATATTTAGTTTTTTTTTTTATTATATGGGGACATTGAAGTCAAACCTAATATTCACTGCTGTTGAGAAATAACTGTTGTGTTTGGCATAGATATATCAGATGTCTGTATTTCTGCTTTTGTTTGTGACATTATTTCATATGTGATATGTGACCATATTTCTACTATAACTATGGCTTTTAAAAAATGCTTTTGCCTGATCTTTGTAAGTCACAGTCGGTCACTTGGCTGGTCATGGAGTTGGAATAGGAAGGAGCCTTCAGTGTCATATCAGTCATTGTGTAAAAGAAAGTAGCCTTTGCCAGTTTTCAGAATGCCATGGATTTTCCCATCTTATCGCCCTAAAGCATTTCTAACTATCTAAGAGACTATCTAAGATAAGCAAATCTTCTTAATAGTTTGTCTGTTTTTGATGGAGAGTTCTGCTTTAGACATTGTGTCTATAAATTGCAAGGTTAATTGTATAGTCTATGGAGTAAAACATTTGTAGAAATTACTAATGTATTAATGTGAGATTATTAAAGCAAATTTAATTAGGCCAAGTGGCATTGGATTATAGTCTTATCACTATTATTCCTGAGGGAATATTTCTTTATTGTTTCTTTAATACATTTGTTGAAATATAGAGTATAGGTATGTTATTGTCTAGCACACTCTTAAAAAAGAAACAACATTTTTTTTTTAAACAATGCTGTAGAAGAACCACTTTTTAAAAAAAGACATTTGCGAGCGTAAACAACTTTTTAAACGTTCAAAGAACCTTTATAATGTAAACGCTCTATACCACTTCAAACATTCTTACTAGAACCTTTACATAATGTGGAGGTTTTTTTTTTAGACTTTTTAAAGGTTCTTAATGCTCATACATCTCATTTACAAAAAATGTTTTAAAGTTTTGTTGTTGTTTTTCTATGGCATTTTGCAAAGAATCTTTTCTGGCACCTTCATTTTTAAGAGCGTTTTCGAAATGTTCTATTCTGTTATTTCATTCATCTTGCACGACATTGTAAGTCATACGTCATGTTTTCTTCAATGGGGTAAAATAGACCCCTGAAAAAGGCTTTTCTTACAAATTACCAAAAACAGTCTGTAATCCAAAAATGAATCATAGACAGGTTTGCTAAGAACAATACCTTCTTTATGTGAAAACTTCACTATCCTGCCTGACATCAAACATGAAAAGCCACAAACAATGAATAAATTTATATGGTACTTAATTGAGGGAATTCTTTATCCATGCAGTAAAAATTGAGATCACTAAAAAAAGGAAGAAATAAAGAATACACACAATTTGGCAGAATTATGATTAGGCCCTCTTTGTCTTTCCCGGGTGGGCATTAATAGTGAAAGCTGTTGAGCTAGCAGTGCTTGACGGACATAGTGAACTTTGAGGATTAGCAGAGAAGATTTGTTTTGAATGGGGATCAGTAGAGCTGACTCCACTGGCTGTATTAAAAGAGACAAAATGGCCTGGAGCAGGACATTTGAGCAGCCATTCTGTCCTATTTGGTCTCCCTTGTTCACCACAATTCCCTTTCTCCATCCTAACTTCTCAGTCCCCATTGTTGAAAAGTTCTTTTAAAGAGGTTTGTGTGCCCTGAGAACTGAATGGATTTGGATTCTAAATATCCTGATTAGAATTATGTGTAATTGTTTATTTGTCTGTATTTCAGAATTGACTGATATTTGACGGTTGAAAGGATGTCTCCTTGTCTTTGATACAGACCGATTTGTACACTAAGCTGTAGCTTCTCTGTTGTAACATGGAATGAACATTCTTGTCTTTGTCATGCAGAAAATGGGATTATCTTGATATTACTAGTATTACTTGGGGATCCCCACATTATTTATGTATTTACTCAAAAACTATCTGAGCTATGCTTGTCCTTCCCCCAGTTTATGGGATTCATTACTTCTAAAACCGTGGATTTTTTATCCCTAAACCATGCTGCCTTGTCTTGTATTGTGGTGCCGTGTTGATTCTGGCTTGTTCAAGCAACCTTTAGTTTCTGTGTAAACAATAGGAGGAAGATTGGCTTAGACGCTGTAATCCATCCATAGAAGCTATGGGCCTTGTGTTTTGCACCTCTGACAGACAGCGATAAGGAGTGGGCCCGGGATTAACCCACTCTTTAAGAAAAGCGCTTTTGCGACCTCTGGGTGAATTGTTTCTGCCAGCGATTTAGTCATGTCAGACAATGTAAGGCTTTAATATCACACAAAACTTCAGATTAGAGAATTAAGTAAGCAGCCAAGTCTGTTTAAAGTGTATGATGTTGGCCTACAGTGTCCTCAGAATTATTCAAAGGACATTGAAGGCTCAGTTTCACATCTGTAATCGAACCATGCTGTTTAAGATAATGACGTGGTTCTAGTTATAAGGTACACTCTCTTTGTGGCCTCAGGTAAAACTTAGCGCACACTTTGAAAAGGACAGCGGGAAGTAACAGCATCTGTACATTTAAATACAAATGACGATAAGACAGCCACGACTCTTTGAAGTGGATGACTTTATAGAACCCTCAGAAGTGTCACTCTTTTGCTGACCCTGAAATGTTTTGTAACATTTCAGGACATGTAGCATCCCTGCAGTTTTAAAACCTGTTAATGTTCATAGTTATTTTATTCTAGCAAACGGAGAAAAGAAGAAGTGCTTGGGAAAGAAATACTGCTTTCTCAGGTTGGCATTAATAGTGAAAGCTTTTGAGTTAAAACTGGTTGACGGACATAGTGAACATTTTGGATTAGCAGAGGAGATTTGTTTTGACTGTGTTGAGGTGAGAAATGTGTCTTTTATTTTGCTTTGACATGTAATTGAACAGAAAGGCCCCAGATTGCTCCCAAACTGGGTAAGCGACTTGATCCTTGATCAGCAAGTCAGGAACCCCTGAGAAGACCTGTGGAGACTTAGGTCTAGAAAATCTCTTCCATCATTTGGATATTCTCACATGGCACTGATGCTCTGTTCCCCATGTTTGCCTGCTGAGGGGTTACAAGCATGGGGGTGGGATGTGGCACCCAGGTGACTCATTGACAAAGACTGGCCAGCCTGTTAAGGGGGGCTGAATTGCTCTTGTTTACAAAGGCATGCTGGAGGAGCCATCCTAGCACAGCTGCCAAATTCTCAGGGAGCAGTTAATAAACTACAGGAAGATGATCATTGAGGGGGAGGGTGGCAAATGAGCAGGCCTAGTCATGCAAATACACCCACATGTGGTGGTAGTCTGGAGGTTCTAGAGTGTAAAGTAACACCGGAACATGGATTAACAGTGTCATTGTTTGCAGCAGGGCATGTTCCAAGCTTTCCAGTTTTTTAATAAACTTCATATAATAAAGGTGTAGACATTGTCAGGTTTTCCTGTCTAAAGTGGTTAGGTTAGTTTTGTTTCACCCCAACTAGTGTCTAGCAGTCCAGAGATATGTAATCCAGTTATGTTTCATCTCTGTCTGTTCTTTTCTCAGCTACTGTATCTTCTGCCATCAAAAGACTTTCACTGAGTGAGTCAGTCTGGCGTATTTATAAAAATGCTGTAAAAATGAAAGAAAATCCCCCACCTCAAGGTAACCATGGCTCCCTGACCATAAATCATTGATGTCAGCAAAGGCCTAATCAGTGACGCATATACGGTCCTCAAAGCATACGTTTTTTGCCTTTCGAAACAAAAACGAAATACCTGAAAATGGCAATAAATGAATGTTCAAAGGTGCTCTGAGTCACAGCAGTCAGAAGAAGGGTTAGAAAGTTTTGTAGCCCCAAATGTAGTGGGTTGGCATGGCGTCTGCCTCTAGCCCTAAGCAAGAACGGCCTGGGGCGCTGTGGAGGACTGATGAAGACAAAACGGCCGGAGCACAGCTAGTTTATTCTCACCCAGGTGTGCCCAAGTCCCTGCTGTCCCATTTGGTGTCGCAGTGAGAAACTCCACAACCAGGTTAAGGAAGGGGGGTGGGTGGTTGAGGCAAGGGAAGGAGAAGGAGGTGAGAAAGTACTGTTTAGAGGTGTTATGGTCACCCAGGTTACTTTTATCCTGTTTTTCTCACCAGCTCTGTGTAACTGGCTTGTG